CTGTTTTGCGTTAAAGAGTCCCTGAGCACCTCAGACCTCTCCAATGTGTTGATATCTTTGGATAACAAATTAATAATTTAAATAAAAAAAGAAGGGAAAAGGGTGTGTTATTATTACACATTTATACTACAATATAAAAAAATGCATTATATGCATGTATACACAGGGTTGTTAAGTTTTATGATCACTATAATTATAATGTATATAGAAATATCATATATTTGTCTGATAAAATACAAATATTGACTATGAATAACAGTCAACTCTCCACATTTTTGAAATGTAACTGGGTTAAATGGGCGCTGCACATGTAGTTTAAAAGAGAAAGGGCTATTTATGTACATATATTATTCAAATTAAAAAGTGATTATTATTTTCCGTTACCTGACGGCTCAGAATTCTGCTCCTCCGAGTCACTCCAGTGCCTCTCTTGTGCCACAGACTGTTTAAGCAGCTGATATGCTTTGGTCTCTATAGAAAAAAATTAAATAAAAAAAATTACAAAATGCGAAAGCAGCTAGTGAAATATTTGCTAAAGACCTCGACTTCCAACTTTCCAGAGCCCTGATGCTTGATGAACCAACATCAGCTCTTTAAGGCCACTGATGAGCAAAGAGAGGAGGTGAAAAAGAGTGAGTGAGCACTAAACTATTGATCTAATCCAGACGCACACAGACAGGCTGCCGTCTCGGCAAAAAAGAACCCGCTGGCTTTTGTGTTGACGCACCCTAATGGATTCGTGGAGGAGAGGCGCTGCGTGTCTTAGCTGATTGTGTGAACTTGTGTTGATGTGAAAACCTAAACATTTGTACCCTCAAGATCCTTTTTCTTCATTCAAAGCCCTGATTTACTGAAGCAATCAAATAATGCCGATGATGAGAGAGGAACCACTGATGAGCAAAGAGAGGAGGTGAAAAAGAGTGAGTGAGCACTAAACTATTGATCTAATCCAGACGCACACAGACAGGCTGCCGTCTCGGCAAAAAAGAACCCGCTGGCTTTTGTGTTGACGCACCATCTTATAGGATTCCATTTAAAACACTGTCTTTCATGTTCTATAAACTTTGGAAATTGAGATCTTTAACCAGCGAGCATTCAAGCTTAAAATCATTTTTGAAAATGAGCCCTGGAAAACAAAAGTATGTCAGTTTTAAATGCCGAAAGCAAACAGAAAAACAAATTGCAAAGTGGTTATGCCCCCAAAGACAAAATACTTTCCAGCATCTCGTTATGCTGATATCTCTAGTATGGCATGTTGTTTGTTGCTCGTTTCTTCCGGTGTAATGACTGCAAAATATAGGCATCAGAACCTTGTAGAAAAAGCATCTAAAGATTTCCTTTTTGTTCGCCATATACATAAAACACTATCGTGCATGGCGGCGCTTTACCAACATGGAGACGGCGGAAGGCCAACATTCGGATGCTGTTTCCACTGATGATTGCAAAGTGATGTAATACGAAAGGCAACAGAACTCAACGCAGTCTTCATTAGCTGCCTGTAAACAGCGCATAAGAAGCCAGGGACAGCAGAGGCGGTTTTCTACTACCATAATGCCTTTGATTAGTTGCAGTGAGAAGCTGGACTTCTCTCTCCGTGGCACTCTTGGGCTAGCCCTGCGCATGAAAGGCACAGTTTGAAATCAGATAGCCAAGTGGAATAATGGATAGTTTTAAATTTCTGAGCTGGCGCTGAGACTTGCTACGCGAGGCTTTTCAAAGGATGCCTTGACATCCAGTCTTTTCAAGTCCGCCTCTGGCTGGCATTGTTTAGCAGATAATGAGAACCAATGACAGATCTTGTGCGGCACCCCCAACCAGGCCGGTGGACAATTAAACCTCCACATTATGCGCTCTGAGAATCTCAGTTTCAGCCATACCTAAGGCAGAAGAAAAGAGACTGGTTTGTTTTCTCTGCCGATAATTAGAAGAATTGTTCCACTCTTCAGGTGGGACTTTGACCTCTGATTCACCTTGGTCATCCTTTCACAGCTATCCAGTTGAGAAAAAAAGGGACCCCCATTATCTACTGTGCGAGGAGAAAGACAAAACGGACACAGAAGAACTCCTGAACGGGCACTTCTTCGATCTGCCTTTTTACCTCTAATAGGAATACTTTCCACTGGGCTTTGGTCGGCACTGTCCTCTTCAGCACTTTGAATTCCTGAAACAAAGAAAAGAGAAGGAAAGCGCAGCTCAGAGAGACAGTGGAAGAGCAAGACAGAGGAGAAACGAGAAAGAAAAGAAAGAGAGAGAGAGCTCGGGAAGGGGGTTGGGGAGCTTTTTGAATCTGAACAGCAGGACTGATTAAGACAGGTTTAAAGGGAGAATGAAGGCTGGCTGTCTTTGTCAGAAATGAGATTTGGGCAAAAGTGTATTCTCATGAGGGTCAGAGCTCTGGCATCCTGCGAGTACTCGAGGTCTCCTCTTCAGCCTTCATCAGAACGGAGCCACAGAGCTGATGTTTCCCTGCTTTAAGCACTGAAAATGAACCGTTAATGTGGCTTGCCTGCTTTTGGGGAGTCCCTCTCAGATTCTCTCTCTGATCTATACTGTCCGGCTGAGCACGGCTCTTAACAACTGTGTGTATTTAAACAAGCTATTCATTTGAAACCGGAAAAGCAGATCTTTGCAATAAGCAGAATTTGTAAATGCAATAAAGTGCCAGCTAAGCTGAAATGTCAAACTAGCCTACTAACCTTGTGTTCCAACAGTTTGCTTATTTGTTTTGGAAGGCCTCGCCGGCTTGATTTCCACACTGTCATCCAGAAGAGAGGGCAAGCTACAAGAAGATGACAGTTCACTTTCTGATGGCTGATGGGTCTCAGATTTGTGGGTCAGAAGCCTCTTCAACAGCTCCCCTGCCTGGATGACAAAGAGACGACTTGTCTTTATTTCAGGGTTCTCACACCTTTTGACTTTTCCATAATTTTCCCAGACATACATGATTAGAAAAAAATAACTAGAAAAAAATGTTATTCATTGTGTGTAGTGTCCAGATTCAACCTGGCTAGATTCAATGTGAGATTTAATTTTAGTTTTAATTTGCTAAAACAAAAAAACATGTAGGATTACCACACAGAATCAGCACCCATTGAGTGCTTGTTATTAATTAAACATTTTGGCAGTACTATTGAACACATTTGACCATGTAATTGCCAGAATTCCAAATATTTTCTAGCAAAAAATCAGTGCAGAAAAAGGCCTGATGATCACTCACTGCTCAGCCTCTTATCTTTTCACATAAAAATGATACATTTTTACATATATCTGAGGGCTGATACCACAGACAATAAAACTGCATGAGGGAAGCTAGTGATTGACTTAAACCAGGAAAAATAAAAAATAAAATCATTATACTTATTCAGAGCTCTGCTCTCAACTCAATACTGTTTTTAAGCAATATTGCAAAACGCTAATATTACTAATCTTAGTAAACTGTTAGTTAGACTGTCAGCAGTCATGCTCGGGTCAGGTCCTGAGATCGGAATTAAGTTTCTCTGGATGAGATACAGAGCAGACAAAACAACAGAAATATACATAAACAATATGTAAACCACAACTACTGTATAAAGCAAGCCAAATAGTCACTGCACAACTAAAAAATGCTGATAAATTCTGCAGGGTGTCAAGAGAAACTGAATCAGAAATAATGACAAGGAAGGGAGGTTAGATGTCAAATATTATCATACCCTAGCAATAGATTCACACATCAGAGGCCAAATGCCACATAACACAGTCTCATAACAACAGGAGTTGTTAACACAGTCTCATAACAACAGAGAACATCAACCCCATAACCTCATTTTAACAAAAAAGTGGAGAACTTTATAAAACTGGAATTTATAGCAGGGCTGCCCCTAGGAAAGACCCATATATATTTTACAGGATGAGATCATTTTACTGGATCAGCTGCATCATATTTAATATGTAATTATTACATATTCCAGGATAATAATGCCTCCATATTCACCACTACAAACATTACAAAGTGGTTCTATGGGCACTAGCATGAATCACTGAAGCTTTAAGAGCAGTTTCAGCACTGCTGAAGTAGATTTCCAGTTTAATTCATTAAAGAATTGGGAGTTTTTCCTAGAAAAATGAAAAAGAAAGAAATAAAAAAATAGGTTTGTTTTGATGCATAAAAACGCTCCGGTTACTAACGTAACCTTGGTTCCCTGAGATAAGGGAACGAGCGTTGCATTGACACGCTTATGGGGAAACTCCTGTTTACTCTGATATTGAAGTCTGATTTGTTCACGTTCGTGTGGCTGCACGAACCAATGGCACTTCAACCCGCCAAAAGAGGAGGAGCCGACCTTTATATAAGTCGGCTCTGAGCGCCATTTCGGCAGAATCTTTCGACTGAAGCGACAGTCATCGATTCGAGGGCAGCCTTATTGCAAGGCAGCCTCCGCAACGCTCGTTACCTTACCTCAGGGAACCGTGGTTATGTTAGTAACCGGAGCATTCCGTTTTGAATGGTCTCTCCCGTTGTGTTAACACGCTTATGGGGAACACGTCCAATAGCGCTGTGCTATAAGCAAGTGCAGAAATGAAGCTGCTCTGCGAGCCCAGCCCCAAAGCACTCGTACTGAGGGCTCCGGTAAGCATGAGCCAATAATGAGACCCAAGGGGTTTAGGCTGAGGACTACATAACATAACCCTCTCCACTTACAAAGGTGATTAGATAGAATTAAGTGGACAAAATCTGTGCCTGCAGGGCAGGGACATCCAAGTTATAAAACCTGGTGAAGGTAGACGGCGACGATCAGCCGGGGGGCTGCACAAATATCAGCAATAGAAATCCCGCTGGACCAAGTCAAGTCACCTTTATTTATATAGCGCTTTTAACAATACAGAATGTGTCAAAGCAGCTGTACAGCATTAATTAGGAAAATAGTGTGTCAATAATGCAAAATGACATTAGTAAACACTCAATTTTCAGTTAAAGGCAGTTCATCGTTGAATTCAGTGATGTCATCATCCAGCTCAGTTCAGTTTAAATAGTGTCTTGTGCAATCAAGTCGACGATATTGCTGGAAATTAAGTGTCCCCAACTAAGCAAGCCAGAGGCGACAGTGGCAAGGAACCAAAACTCAATCGGTGACAGAAGCCCTGTAGGAGTCCATTCCTCTGGTGGAGTGGGCCCTCACACCTATAGGGCACTGCAAGCCCGCTGAGGCGTAAGTCAAGGCTATAGCATCTACTATCCAGTGAGATAGTCTCTGCTTCGTAACCGGCAGCCCTTTAGAACGGCCTCCGAAGCACACAAAGAGCTACTCTGAATGTCTAAACAGGCCAGAGCGCTCAACATACACTCTAAGAGCCCATTGGGGAGCGCTAGAAGGGTGATGACTTGTGGTCTAAATGGTGTGGAGAGCACTTTCGGCACATAGCTGTGTCTCGGTTTGAGGACGACTCTACAGTCGTTAGGCCCAAACTCAAGACATGAAGCACTGACTGACAGTGCTTACAGGTCACCCACTCGCTTGATCAACACTAAAGCCAAAGGGAGGGCGGTCTTAAACGACAGAGGCCGCAAGTCAACCGACTGGAGCAGCTTAAAGGGAGGGCCCCGTAGGGCCTTGACGACTATAGATAAGTCAAGTCACCTTTATTTGTATAGCGCTTTATACAATACTGTGCCAGAGCAGCTTTACAGTGTCAAACAGGAAAATAGTTTGTCAATGATGCAAGAAGACAATAACAGAGCCATTTTTCAGCTAAAGTCAGTTCATTGATGATTCAGTGATGTCATCATCCAGGCTGGGACTTGCTACCCGAGGCTTTTCAAAGGATGCCTTGACATCCAGTCTTTTCAAGTCCGCCTCTGGCTGGCATTGTTTAGCAGATAATGAGAACCAATGACAGATCTTGTGCGGCACCCCCAACCAGGCCGGTGGACAATTAAACCTCCACATTATGCGCTCTGAGAATCTCAGTTTCAGCCATACCTAAGGCAGAAGAAAAGAGACTGGTTTGTTTTCTCTGCCGATAATTAGAAGAATTGTTCCACTCTTCAGGTGGGACTTTGACCTCTGATTCACCTTGGTCATCCTTTCACAGCTATCCAGTTGAGAAAAAAAGGGACCCCCATTATCTACTGTGCGAGGAGAAAGACAAAACGGACACAGAAGAACTCCTGAACGGGCACTTCTTCGATCTGCCTTTTTACCTCTAATAGGAATACTTTCCACTGGGCTTTGGTCGGCACTGTCCTCTTCAGCACTTTGAATTCCTGAAACAAAGAAAAGAGAAGGAAAGCGCAGCTCAGAGAGACAGTGGAAGAGCAAGACAGAGGAGAAACGAGAAAGAAAAGAAAGAGAGAGAGAGCTCGGGAAGGGGGTTGGGGAGCTTTTTGAATCTGAACAGCAGGACTGATTAAGACAGGTTTAAAGGGAGAATGAAGGCTGGCTGGCTTTGTCAGAAATGAGATTTGGGCAAAAGTGTATTCTCACGAGGGTCAGAGCTCTGGCATCCTGCGAGTACTCGAGGTCTCCTCTTCAGCCTTCATCAGAACGGAGCCACAGAGCTGATGTTTCCCTGCTTTAAGCACTGAAAATGAACCGTTAATGTGGCTTGCCTGCTTTTGGGGAGTCCCTCTCAGATTCTCTCTCTGATCTATACTGTCCGGCTGAGCACGGCTCTTAACAACTGTGTGTATTTAAACAAGCTATTCATTTGAAACCGGAAAAGCAGATCTTTGCAATAAGCAGAATTTGTAAATGCAATAAAGTGCCAGCTAAGCTGAAATGTCAAACTAGCCTACTAACCTTGTGTTCCAACAGTTTGCTTATTTGTTTTGGAAGGCCTCGCCGGCTTGATTTCCACACTGTCATCCAGAAGAGAGGGCAAGCTACAAGAAGATGACAGTTCACTTTCTGATGGCTGATGGGTCTCAGATTTGTGGGTCAGAAGCCTCTTCAACAGCTCCCCTGCCTGGATGACAAAGAGACGACTTGTCTTTATTTCAGGGTTCTCACACCTTTTGACTTTTCCATAATTTTCCCAGACATACATGATTAGAAAAAAATAACTAGAAAAAAATGTTATTCATTGTGTGTAGTGTCCAGATTCAACCTGGCTAGATTCAATGTGAGATTTAATTTTAGTTTTAATTTGCTAAAACAAAAAAACATGTAGGATTACCACACAGAATCAGCACCCATTGAGTGCTTGTTATTAATTAAACATTTTGGCAGTACTATTGAACACATTTGACCATGTAATTGCCAGAATTCCAAATATTTTCTAGCAAAAAATCAGTGCAGAAAAAGGCCTGATGATCACTCACTGCTCAGCCTCTTATCTTTTCACATAAAAATGATACATTTTTACATATATCTGAGGGCTGATACCACAGACAATAAAACTGCATGAGGGAAGCTAGTGATTGACTTAAACCAGGAAAAATAAAAAATAAAATCATTATACTTATTCAGAGCTCTGCTCTCAACTCAATACTGTTTTTAAGCAATATTGCAAAACGCTAATATTACTAATCTTAGTAAACTGTTAGTTAGACTGTCAGCAGTCATGCTCGGGTCAGGTCCTGAGATCGGAATTAAGTTTCTCTGGATGAGATACAGAGCAGACAAAACAACAGAAATATACATAAACAATATGTAAACCACAACTACTGTATAAAGCAAGCCAAATAGTCACTGCACAACTAAAAAATGCTGATAAATTCTGCAGGGTGTCAAGAGAAACTGAATCAGAAATAATGACAAGGAAGGGAGGTTAGATGTCAAATATTATCATACCCTAGCAATAGATTCACACATCAGAGGCCAAATGCCACATAACACAGTCTCATAACAACAGGAGTTGTTAACACAGTCTCATAACAACAGAGAACATCAACCCCATAACCTCATTTTAACAAAAAAGTGGAGAACTTTATAAAACTGGAATTTATAGCAGGGCTGCCCCTAGGAAAGACCCATATATATTTTACAGGATGAGATCATTTTACTGGATCAGCTGCATCATATTTAATATGTAATTATTACATATTCCAGGATAATAATGCCTCCATATTCACCACTACAAACATTACAAAGTGGTTCTATGGGCACTAGCATGAATCACTGAAGCTTTAAGAGCAGTTTCAGCACTGCTGAAGTAGATTTCCAGTTTAATTCATTAAAGAATTGGGAGTTTTTCCTAGAAAAATGAAAAAGAAAGAAATAAAAAAATAGGTTTGTTTTGATGCATAAAAACGCTCCGGTTACTAACGTAACCTTGGTTCCCTGAGATAAGGGAACGAGCGTTGCATTGACACGCTTATGGGGAAACTCCTGTTTACTCTGATATTGAAGTCTGATTTGTTCACGTTCGTGTGGCTGCACGAACCAATGGCACTTCAACCCGCCAAAAGAGGAGGAGCCGACCTTTATATAAGTCGGCTCTGAGCGCCATTTCGGCAGAATCTTTCGACTGAAGCGACAGTCATCGATTCGAGGGCAGCCTTATTGCAAGGCAGCCTCCGCAACGCTCGTTACCTTACCTCAGGGAACCGTGGTTATGTTAGTAACCGGAGCATTCCGTTTTGAATGGTCTCTCCCGTTGTGTTAACACGCTTATGGGGAACACGTCCAATAGCGCTGTGCTATAAGCAAGTGCAGAAATGAAGCTGCTCTGCGAGCCCAGCCCCAAAGCACTCGTACTGAGGGCTCCGGTAAGCATGAGCCAATAATGAGACCCAAGGGGTTTAGGCTGAGGACTACATAACATAACCCTCTCCACTTACAAAGGTGATTAGATAGAATTAAGTGGACAAAATCTGTGCCTGCAGGGCAGGGACATCCAAGTTATAAAACCTGGTGAAGGTAGACGGCGACGATCAGCCGGGGGGCTGCACAAATATCAGCAATAGAAATCCCGCTGGACCAAGTCAAGTCACCTTTATTTATATAGCGCTTTTAACAATACAGAATGTGTCAAAGCAGCTGTACAGCATTAATTAGGAAAATAGTGTGTCAATAATGCAAAATGACATTAGTAAACACTCAATTTTCAGTTAAAGGCAGTTCATCGTTGAATTCAGTGATGTCATCATCCAGCTCAGTTCAGTTTAAATAGTGTCTTGTGCAATCAAGTCGACGATATTGCTGGAAATTAAGTGTCCCCAACTAAGCAAGCCAGAGGCGACAGTGGCAAGGAACCAAAACTCAATCGGTGACAGAAGCCCTGTAGGAGTCCATTCCTCTGGTGGAGTGGGCCCTCACACCTATAGGGCACTGCAAGCCCGCTGAGGCGTAAGTCAAGGCTATAGCATCTACTATCCAGTGAGATAGTCTCTGCTTCGTAACCGGCAGCCCTTTAGAACGGCCTCCGAAGCACACAAAGAGCTACTCTGAATGTCTAAACAGGCCAGAGCGCTCAACATACACTCTAAGAGCCCATTGGGGAGCGCTAGAAGGGTGATGACTTGTGGTCTAAATGGTGTGGAGAGCACTTTCGGCACATAGCTGTGTCTCGGTTTGAGGACGACTCTACAGTCGTTAGGCCCAAACTCAAGACATGAAGCACTGACTGACAGTGCTTACAGGTCACCCACTCGCTTGATCAACACTAAAGCCAAAGGGAGGGCGGTCTTAAACGACAGAGGCCGCAAGTCAACCGACTGGAGCAGCTTAAAGGGAGGGCCCCGTAGGGCCTTGACGACTATAGATAAGTCAAGTCACCTTTATTTGTATAGCGCTTTATACAATACTGTGCCAGAGCAGCTTTACAGTGTCAAACAGGAAAATAGTTTGTCAATGATGCAAGAAGACAATAACAGAGCCATTTTTCAGCTAAAATCAATTCACTGATGATTCAGTGATGTCACCATCCAGTTCAGCTCTCTTCCAATAGTGTCTGTGCAATCAGTCAAGCGTCCCCAACTAAGCAAGCCAAAGGAGACAGTGGCAAGGAACCAAAACTCCATCGGTGACAGAAATGGAGAAAAAAATCTTGGTTTTTTTTTACAACCAGGCTCAGTCAGGGAGCCAGTTCTCCTCTGGCTAGATGAAACCAGCATGGCGTGGTTTAATTCCAGGCTGCAACACAGGTCAGATTGTGCAGAGGACTTGTCTGGT